CTATCAAGAAATACATTATAACACTTTATTCATGTGCGTTGCCGTGCAAAAATCAAGCGCACTATCAAGAAATACATTATAACACTTTATTCATGCGCGTTGCCGTGCAAAAATCAAGCGCACTCAATCCTCAGAATATAGCAATAGCTGTCCAAAGATATGACACCTGCAAACCGGACAGAATTTACCATGCAAATCAAAGATGTATCAACAAATGAATTATTATAGATCAGCTAGTCGTCTCTACACACTGACGCTTCTCGTTCTGCCGGTCTACGTCACTCCCGTCTGCGCTAGTACCAGCGCCTGTCGAGCTTCCTGGAGTGCGCGCGCGCGAATCCGGTTAATCTTAACTGATGGAGGTATGTTGGTCCCGTTCCGCCAGCTTGTGTGCCAGATATCGTAAAATGACAGCTGCCTTCCGTCTACCTTGTACTTGATCTTGTTACACAGGTACACACGAGCAGCCACCAGCTTCTTCGAAGACGTAGGGAGCTTACATGCTCTACAGTAGTACGACGTTTCGCCACCCCTTGGTCCGTCGGATCGTTTCAGTTTTGAGCACACCTTACAGGAGCGTTGACGCCGCTTCCGCCCTTGCCCCGTTATTGCCATCCCGCCACTCATCTACATGGACGAGTTTATGCACGCGATGCGGGACTGGGCCACCCATCCGCGACTTTGTTGGTGTCTGCTGGGTACCGCATACTATCTCCCAATCCGCTTCTTGCATTTGAACGAGCTCTAAGTGAAGCTGCTTGAGGAACTTGATGTGCGAATTCTTTTTTTCCCCTTCGGCAACTCGCCGCTGGTTGTACACGATGAATGCGTTCACACTCGCTAAATCGATGAACCCAAGGAAAAGGCTCTTGTAATACTTCTTGTATTTCAATGCAAGTTGTAGTGAGTACCTGCATAGAATGAATAATACAGGTTATATCAATTTCGAAACATGTACATACAGGATAAGATTACTTACCTTTGAAGGCGGAGTTGATCATGCACATCAACTCCTGGAGAATCCGTGATCACATTCAGGATTTGTTATTATCCCGGATTACATGTATGATTATTTGGATAATCCAGGAATTGGTCCATGATTAGTTCAATTATCCAGGATTTTATTCGGGATCATTTGGATTTTCAATGATTCTATCCAGGATTATTTCCAGAAAAATATCCAGGATCATCCACAAATTCTAGGATTGTAGATACGAATGTACCCAGGATGTATTTCTACTTCTATGATTGGGCTAACTACTCCTTGTTGTTTAACGAATGTGCAGGTGAACAACTGCAGCTCGTGAATTAAAGACGATCAAACAATTCTCGTATGAGCGATTCTCTGGCGCAAGTGGTGGATCCTTAAAATAAAGCTGCGAACACATTCAGACAGGTGCAGAGAGGCTGTAAGGGTGACGCACTTGATCGTAAACGAATTGACCGACATTGAAGACGGTGATGAGTTCTCCGAGAACCTCCAATTTGTTTTAAACCAGTGGAGAAACGTACATCAGCGAAAAATGGTTTTGCATAAAGGCAGGAGTGAAAGTAAACATTACGAAAAGATTAAGGAGAGTGGGGTACTATGCGAAATTGATGATGGGGATATGAAGCGAGAGTTTGGGATCAGTAGCAGCGACGAGGATGATATGGATTACCAGATTTCTGATGATAACGACACAGTTAGGGGTTCGACTAGAGAAGCATCGTGCGAAACGATCCGCTTGAATCCCAAGGCCAAGAATGTCGGAGCCCCACGTAAACTTTAAACACACACACACACACACCAATGAATCTGTTAGAAAATTGCCGGTGGGATACATCTCGCTGTTAGATTCAACAAAGTTTTTTGACTCCATGAAAGGTTAACTAACTACACGATATCCATGATGAGGGCGACACCTGCGAGAACCCAACGCGCTGGCGGCGACTTGGACTTGAGCTGCGCCGAGAAGACGTAGGTGGGTCCACGGAATTCAGTTTTGTAGCACGGGCACACGTACGATCCTTTGACGTCAAGCTTATCGGCTGCTACAGCCTTGCAGTTAATAACAGGCATAGGTGAAAACATTTCTTTGGGGTGTGAGCGATCCACCGTGTTATTCTGGATATCCCAACGTGCTCCCATGAGGTAGAGACCGTGGATATAAGCGCCATCACGAGACGGCGCGTCCACTTCGCCATTGCGGCGCTTAAGAACATCCGTCTGAATCACGAGTTTGTCCAGTTCCCACTGATTCTTCTGAGCTGTGACCTGCATGATGGCAGTCAGGAACGACTGCGGGTTGATCATACCCGACAGCCACGTGACACGAGGGATATCCGCTGGGTTCTGAGTCCATTCCTCGAGTTGTTGTAGTCGAGCTTCGAGGTTTGTGAGCCACGAGCCAAGCGGACGCATGGACGGGAAAGCGAGTTTCTCCCACGACTTGGGCACTCGATCCAGGAACAAAGACTCCTGTACAGCCTCCATAGCGTCCGACATGGTCAGTTCACCCGCAAAGCCCAGCGACAACTCGTTCAGTGATCGCACCACCTCAGCAAGCAGTCCGTTCATGGCTTCACATTCTTGTATGAAGACGTTCTGGTACGGCCCCATCTCTTCCAAGTTACGCGCAATCTCATCCGTCTCGAACTTCTTCTCACCGACGCGAGACAAGACCATCTCCAGACCTTGTTTCGCCAACTCCAACGGACTCATCGCCGCGTCTCCAGCTGCAGCATCTCGAGGCTGCAACTCCATTAAAGTACGGAATAAATTCTCGGACTGCGTCGTACGGAAATCGATCTCAGCGTTCGGATGTAGGCCAAAGGCCAGGGGTGAGTCTGTCTTGAGCTCCGTCTCAATATGCTCCAAGTACTTGTCGTACGATGACGGAGCGAGACACATGAAGGACGGACCTTTCTCGTCTCCTACAAACGGGAACATTTCCATCTCGTCCAGTAATTCATCGCGCATGTAGAAGTCCAGGTACGTGTTAGCCAGCAGTCGATCGAAGTCGTTGACGATGTGTCCACCGTACATGATCTCACCGAAGATATAGCGCAGATCGGCCCATGGAATCTTACCGCCTGCCGAGCTCTCGAGATAATTCTGCAAACAGATCGCCGAGTCTCGTAGATCACCGAGCGAGAATGGATACATCATGTTGAATCCCAGAGGCCCGTACATCTTGCGTTCCATTAGCACAGCGTGAAAGTGGCAGAGTCCAAAGAGAATGGACTTGACCTTACCTTCTGCTTCCTCGATGTATTCCTTGGGGAAACTCACAAACGCTCGCTTCAAGTTTGCCTTGAGTCCAGACGGAGGCTCATTCGTCAGTTTAATACAGCGGTTGAGTACTCCAATGGGGATCGAGTTAGACGGGTCGGAAGTCAGGAACAAGCGGAAGTTCTTGTGTGAACCTTCCAATGCGAACTCATCCAGTTTCTTCTCCAGTGCCAACAACCAACGAGGCATCAAGTGGATGTTGTTGAGGATGACCCAATGGCCATTACGGTGTGCAACCTCCAGTCGGTCCATGGCGTAGACGTCTTGGCCTTGTCCCATCGACACATTATGGTAACTCACACCTCGTTCGAAGCCGTACTTGACGCTGAGCTTGTCGACACCAGCCACCACATCGGCACCTGGAGACAAGATGAAGTACAATGGCGTCGTAGGTGTCGAGTCCAAGTACGAGTTATCCATCACCTGCAACGCGTTGAGAGCCGAGTCGCAGTCGCAGTAGTTGCTTCCGTTGGGTAGAACTTGACGCACAAACTCGTTCACTGCCACCGTCATACGATCCGGACGCAGACAACGCACCACCAGAAGCTTGAGGAACGGCGTACGATCCAGCCCAGCCCAGTCCAGAGGAAGCTTCTCGGACTCTGGAGTCACGTGGTTGTACCATTCACGGAAGCGCGACGACGCCTCCTTGAGATCTTGCGGCATCTTCTGGAACTCCTCGAGCTGCGCCAACATGTTGATCGCTGTCCATTGAGCTGGAGGCAGCCAGTCAATGGGGTTCGCTTCTTCTTCGCCTCCACCACCTGCTGCTTTTTTGGGTCCTCGCAGTAGGAACTGCATGTAGGCTTCTTGCACTCGCACGTCCTCGCCCAGAATGCCACGACGCATGAGGTTAAATGTGAGTTGAGAGAGGAAAATGAGCTTGTGCGCCTCAAAGAGGCCCCGCGAGACCCACGTGAAGATGGTGATTCGCAACGACTCGCGTAAATTCAGTACTCTGTCGCTCTGCTTGTCGCTCTGTGGCGCTCGATCGATGGAGTTGTAGAAGAACGTGATGAATGAGTCCAGACTGTAGCGATACATGTGGTCAATAGCGCTGAGTGTCGTAAGCAAGAAGTACAGCATTGCTCCTTCTGCTGCTACAGGACGATAGAGTTCTCGCGTGTTGTTGATGACGATCTCCGTCTCCTGGTTCTTCTTGACTGAGATGGAGATATCCGTCGCCTTCTTCTTCGTCTCCTCCAGACTCTCGATCAGAGGCACGTCACTCAGAATATCGTCGGGTGCGTTGGCTAGGCGCTCCAACAGCTGATCTTCCAGCTCCACCAGGTCGATCTTGAACTTCTGGAAGGCCAGTACGAGTTCCTGTTTCTGCGCTTCGAGTTCTGGCTGCTCCTTCTTGACCACCTTCTCCAATAACTGATCTTCTAGACCGCTCTCAGTGGCGATAAAGTTGATCAACGTACACTGTGCAGCAATCTCTGGCTTGTAGTGAGGATTCGACAGTTTGGTCTGGAGATACATGAAGAAATTCGGGTCATATTGCACTTCTTCACCGGCTAACTTCAAGAAGAGATTGGATCCTTTCTTGTACACTGCACGTCCAAGCACTGGGTCAAGTGTGGCGTCGATCTCTTCTCCGATGTTCTCGATGATCAGCACGTGGCCATTGACGATCGCAGTTTCAGTCTTCCGTAGCCATTGATTCTGACTCAGCTGCAAGACAACAAGACCTCGATCTTTCTCCTTCTCACGAAGCCACTTGATGCCTTGCAACTGCGGGTCAATCACCAGTGGCCAACGTTTGCAGCTCGTAATGATTGCACCATTCTCAATGGAAATCCGATCGGCTGGAAGACCTTCACTCATCATCTTGGCGTTCTTCCCTTCCGTCGTCAGCATGGACAAGGGATCAATACCCTCAGTGATGGGGATTCCTTTGGCTACCAGGTCAGGGAACCACGTCTGTTGCCACAATTCTTTACGCACAGCTTGGTCGAATGCGCCTATATAAGACACAAAGGCAGCAGCTAAGAGGGAGTTGCCCACAACCATCACTCCGGAGTTTTTGAGTTGCTCGATCTCGATGCCCCAACGTTCATTCTCGCTCGCCAGTCCGTTCACCAGTTTCCCAGCCAATAAAAGTCTGTTCTCGCACGATTCTTTCATCTCCTCCACCTTGAGTTTCTCCTCTGTAGCCTGACATAGCGTATTCTCCAGAGCTTCCAGTCGCTTCTGCACTTCAGCTACTTGACCCATGGCACGAGCCAATTGCTCTTCAGCCTCTTCTTTCTTCTTCTTGGAAGCTTCAAGCGAGTCCATCAGAGGCTTCACACGCACGTAAATGCGGTTAAACGTGTAGATATTGACCACCCACGAGCAGATATTCGCAGCAGCCGAACTCTTGGACGCCATCTTCTCGGCTGTGAACTCTGGATCGGCGATCAACGGCTCGATACGCGCGATATCCGCTTCCGGGATGTCTTCGCCCTTGAAATCTTTGAGCGCATCCAGGAACGCTCCTGCGTTGTTCATCATCTTCTTGGCGCGATCCCATTTGTGGTTCTTGTACTCTTTCTCCACCAAGATCAGACACGCCTTGGTGACATTATCCACTCCTGCTGGAGGCTTGGGCAGACTCTTAAGCTCTGTGATGGCAGGTTTGGACAGACAATCCACAGCGGCAGCGGCGGCATCCATGGCAGGTTTGGCTTGACTCAGCTCCTTCTCTGCCTCAGCTGCAAGCTCTGCGGCTGCTGCACTGGCCGCTTCTGCCTTGAGCTTCTCCTTGTTGGCGTTCTCCTGCTGCACTTCCGCTCCCGCTTTCTCTCGTCCCATTTGCTCCAGTAATTGATCCGTTGAGGCCTGTTTCTCGGCCACTTTGACCATCGTGTGCTTCAGATCCACTTGCAGTTCCGCCACATCCGCCGAGGTCTTACGCAGAGTCGAGAGTCCGTCATCCAGACGAGAGATCTGACGTTGAATATCCTCCTTCCGCTGCTTGAGCAGGATCTCGTAGAAGCTGATAAGCTCCAGGAAGCTCTTGGGCGTCACGTAGTTGTAGCGTCTCTGCGTTTCGAAGTAGTTTTTGCTCATCTCAGTCACGGAAATGTGGACATCAGCCATGTGGTTTGCCAAGTTCCTTTGCAGCGAAATATCCCCAATATCCTCGAATTTCTCGAGAAAACTGGACGCCACACGCACCAAAGCATCGCGAGGCCACGGATGGAACCAATCGATTACTGTACAGTTCACTAGACCCGGGAAACGACGAGCTCGAACACGGAAAACAGCGCCGACAGGGGAGAAACACATGACCACGCGGAAGTTGAGACGAATGCGCAGCAGTAAAAAGTCCATGAGTGCATCCATCGCGTCGGGGATTCCGTTAGCCTTGGCTTCACTACGTAGAGAGCCCAACAGTCCGTCGAGGTCTTCTTTAGGGAAGAGATCAGGGATCCAACCGGACGACAACATGTCGTTGATGTAGACGAGGAACCGCTCGTTGACGATCTGAGAGTCCGTGATGAGGAAAACCAAGGGAAGGCCCTGCACACCTGCGATCTTGAACATCTCAGCCAGACTCTCCTTCAAGTCTTCGATACGGAAGTTGGAAGTGACGGACAGTTGACGCACATCGAAGCCGCAGATGTGAGATGCGAGACGTGATAGAGACTGCTTGCCGCTTCCTCCGACACCGATCAGCATGGCGTTGCCTCCTGGGTTCCCAATGATACGACAGATACGCGTCACGTGCTCCATAGCGTTGTCGAACAGTTCCAAGTTCATCATGGAATACTTGGAATTATAGTCGTCCAGCTGCTCCACCAACACCTTATTGAGAGCTTTCATGGACGACACAGGCATGTAAACACTGTCAGCACCAGCCACTGGAGTCGCGAAAGTCGTGAAGATGTTTACTGGCACAGGAGCGCTGTCTTCGGAGCCTGGAGGGGGTGGAGGCTGATCGTTAAACAGCGCTACTTGGTCCAAGTCTGGCAGCGTCTTCTTAGTCACCTCTCGAATCCGATCACCAAACTTGAGAATATCCTCGTCGTTGATAAGACGGTCACAAAAGACGCGAGTGGCTTCGTGGACCCACAGACGAGCGAACGAGAAGGCTGTGGGGAAGAATTCGCCCTTAGAGCGCGTGAGGCCTTGGAAGATATTGGACAATTCACGCATGTTCCAGTTGTAGACGAACTTGGTGGCACTCGGGAGGAATCTGTTGACCATCTCTTCGTGCAGGAGGATGGATACATTGACGATATTCTCACAGACCGCCACCACTGGAGGAGCGAAGCCTGCGTTCTGCATGTGTCCCTTTAAGATCGAGTTGTAGATGGTCTTGAGGTCTTCTCGTCCAGGCATCATACACGCGAATAGAGCATAGTGTCGCTGCAATCGCTCGTCGATAATGAAGGAGCCAGCGGTGGGATTCATAGCCGACAAGTACTGCACGTCCACGATCTCCTTCCTGAAGCCCAAGTCCACACGGTCGAAGAACGTCTTGTAGTCCATGTGTTGACGCAGCAGAGCCAGCGAGTTTTGCGTGCCGTATGTCTCAATGTACGGCAGATTCAAGTCGTCGATAAAGTAGATCAACTTCTTGGTAGCTGGAGGCCCGAACATGCGACCAGAGCGTTTGTCAATCACAGACTCGAGTTGCTGCTGTAACTTGGCCGAGTCTGTGTAGTAGTTCATGTTGATGTTCGAGAAGAGCATGTCGTCGTCGAGATCTCGCAGGAAGTTTTTGAGGATCGTCGTCTTGCCTGTTCCGCTGCCGCCTACGAGCATCGCGGGTCTCTGCCGAGCCACCAGAGTCTCCACGAGGAAGCGAATACGCACCGAGTCGTTGGTACTGATGACGATCGAGTTGAATGGCGTGTCTGCCGGACCATTCCCGATGGACCCTGGCGAGTACTTGGGCACCTTTGTACTCCAACTCTCGAATTCTCCCGACTCTAAGTTGTAGAAGTAGTCGAAACATAGTCCATCCTTCGGGTATTTAACGTTTGTAAACGTTGAGCACCACAGTTCGTGGAAATTCTTACGGTAATCAATGCTCTTGTCAACGATCAACGGGCCGCCAAACGCCCACGTCGCACAGAAGACGAAGATGGACTCAATCACCTCTGGATTCTTCTTCTCCACTGGGATATTGCCGAGTAATCCTTCGAGCAAGTAGCAGATCGTCGACACCTGGTTGATCAGACGCACAGGAGCGACCTGTTTGTAGCCTTTTCGCATCAGATCGTAGATTGGATCCACGTATTTGTCAAAGAGTCCAGGCAGATAAGTGCGTTCGACTTCTTCCTCGCGCTTGGCCACCCACGACTCCATGAATGGCCGCCAGCCGATGTCAATCTCGTTGATAAACAGGATTCCAGCTCTTGAGACGGTAGCAGGGGTGGCGTTCTTGAGCGAGTTGATCTCAAAGACCATTCGCATCGCACTACTCAGCGGGATACGCTCATTCGACACTAGAGTGAGCACTTTGTTGTCGTCCATGACGGTGTTCATGGACTCAATCCACACTGCATCGATATCGCCATCAAGCACCACCCACTTGTACGTTTGGCTCTCGTAGAATCCCTGCTCCGAGTAGTTCTTGGCCATGCCACGCATGATAATGGACAACACGCCATCTTTCCAGTCTTTGGACAACGTCATGTATCCATAGAGTTCGTCAGAGGTGACAGCCTTGGGGTTCAGCGTCTCATACACGCAGATCTTCTTTTCCTTTCCGAGATTCCAGCACTTGGCCAGTGCCTGCCACGTCGTCGTTTTGGCACAACCCGCAGGACCCAGTAGCATCACCGAGTGACGCACATCAATCAGTTCTTGCAACTGGCAGATCTTGAGGATGAACGAGTCATCGTGCTGCAAGTTGTTGGCCTTACAGACCGTCACCGCCTTCTCTCGCAGCTCCGTATTGACCTTGGGAGCCACTTCGACGCCGATAAACAGATCGTTAATAAGCCGCAGGAAGATCGGCGTGTCGTGGTGGGGGATCTTCGGTGTATTGAAGTCTCGTAGCGCTCGCATCAGTACTTTATCCTCTTCAACGTCAGGCTCTGCACGCTTCAAAATACCAGCGACACGGAGTACTGATTTAACAGCACGGAGACCCCAATCGTAGTGGAATTGCTTGGACAGCAACTCGCCGCTCAGTTCGTACAGCGTCACGAACTTGATCGCCAGTGTACGAGCCTGTTGGAAACCTTCAGACATCAACATATTCTCGCAGATAGGCTTCAAGTCTGGTCGAATCATAGCACACGAACGGAAGAGAACCTTGAGATTCTCAGGCAACTCCGTACGACCAGCGTAACCAGGATTCATCGTGATGAAGAAGCCACACGTTGGGATCAGTGTGATACGATCGGATGCGCCCATGAACTCGAACTCTCCGACGACTACCGGTGGAGTACCGGGAGGTAACGACTGGTACTTGGCCTCTCGATTGGCAGGGACAGCGTTGAACACGATAGCGTCCTGGATGCACTTAACCTGTGTTGCCACCACACTGAGCACTTCGATGTTGATGCGGTTGAACTCGTCAAAGCAGCCCCAAGTGCCAGTCTGACACAACCCACGGAAGATATCAGCCATCGTCTGGTAGTTCATTTGATCGGAGCAGTTGAACACGTAGCAACACAGAGCCATCGCGCGAGCCAAGTCTTTTGTCGTCTCTGTCTTGCCAGTTCCAGCTGGCCCAGCAGGAGCGCCACCCAGGAACAATCTCAACGCCATCGTGAGCGTAATATAACAGCGATCAGTAAGCGGAGTGATCACCAGACGACCAGTATTGCCGATCCATTCGTACGAGTACTTGGACCGGAAGTCCGTGATGCGGATATCCACGTCGTAATTCTCTTGTCTCCAGATGAAGCGGAGTTGTTGCTGCCACATGAAGCTGAGAGGGCCTTCCACCTTCTCGTCCACCAGTTTCTTTACGACGTCACGGGAGTGGACATCCAGAGTGATCAACGCGATAATCTTGCAGCGATCTGGACTGGATAAGTTCCCTAGCACCAAATTAATAAGCTGTTCCAGTCGCTGGTTGCATACCGTCAAGTACCTCTTGACCGAGTCTTCCTGGCCATTCTCAAACTCTTCCAGAGCCATCTCCGTCTCCTCCGTCCAGTAGATCTGCGTCGAGTTCAGCACAACTTGAGCTGGATAGTCAAAGAGCCACTGGTGTCGAGGTTTCTCCACGTCCCAATTGGCTGCAGTCTCGATCGAGTCGTGCATTTCTTTGCGAAGACAAAACCTCATGGCTTCTGTAAGTTCATTCAGCCAGCTCTCAACTGCGCCAGCCATAGTGAAGATCTTCGGTAACTTGACCGACTCGCCGTCTTTAGCCACCATCGTGTGTGCTGTGTTGGGCGAGTCATCTTCAAAGATGAGGTTACACAGGGAATCATAGCAATCTCCTAAGAACGGCATGATCTTCTTGGGGTTATTGCCGTTCGACAGGATCTCCAGCAACGCCACGTTCGAGACGAAGTAGAATCGAGGGAAGATCTTCTTCTTCTTGTCCAGATACTCGTTCAGCGACTTCTGACACTTCTCCAGCATCGCCGTCATCTCCTTAAGCGCTTCTAGTCGACTATCCACTGAACAAGCCAGCACCACGTTGGGTTCCATCACTGCGTTTTTCATCAGATCCTTGAAATTCGAGTCGATGGACTCAAATGTACGCGTATCATCGGGTAGCTGGTTACGGATATCCGGTGAACTCAAGAAGATACTCTCGAGCGAAGCCCACTGCTTGGACACTGACACCCACTCCTTCAGCACTTCTTCAACGTGGCCTAAAGTTTTCTGTGAAGCCAGTACGCGGTCTTTAAAGAATTCGACGAACTTACCCATACCGATCATTGTCTGCAGCTCCAGTTGGTTGCTCTCGAGTGACTCCACAACTTCCTCCGACGGCTTGACAACGAACGTGCCTGAATCTTTGTGCGGTACGTACTCGAGTGTGAGTCGTTGCCACAATTCCTCGATCATCTTGAGTTTCTTCTCGATCTTCTGCTCCTTATTAGCAGTCTCCACGATCTCACCAACGTCATCTACGTGTAAATGCAGATTGAGTTTCAAAAGATCAGCGAAGCAGAATTTGGGATCTTTTGGCTCTATGGCCTTCACGTGGCAGATAGCAGACAGAGCCTTCCAGTGGCGATCTTGCATGGCTTCTGAGTGGAGATCATTGATCAACGGGAGTACAGTCGACATGTTCTTCACAAGCTGCTCAGTGTCCTTGTATACCTGCCAGCCTTTGATGATCTGGTGCTCCGTAGCTTCCATCTTGAGCTGCTTCATGAACGCACGAGCGTATCCTTCAAAGGTATCCGTCTGAATGTTAGCCCATAGAGTACTCTTCCAGTCATCGAACGTGGCTAGCACGAGATCCTTTAAGTCCCAGCACTTCTTCAGCTGTTGTAACTCATACAAAGTGTCCGTCGTCTCCTGATACTTGGACACTTGGAGCTCAAACAGTTCTTCCATTTCATTAAACTCCCGAGCCTGTTGCATCTTCTTGTGTAGAGCTGAAGCGAAGTTGTTCATCTGAGCATACGCGTCATTCGGTGTGCCTTGGAAACTGAACGGTGCAGTCGTTCGGAACTCGTTCCGGAACTTGCGCATGTCCAGGAAGAAAGATTCGAGCTCTTCCTTGATCGACTCGACCTCCGCCATCTGCAGCGGCATGATCTCCTCTTTCTTCTTGAATGTCTTGTTGACGATCGCTTCCCACTGCATTGGAGCTGCTTCCAAGTAGTCTTGCACTGCATGATCTCCAATCTTCGTGTCCTCTACGTTGATACCGTGTAGCTTGAGTAGGTGAACAGCTTCTCGTAAGGGGTCAAAGAGTTCGTTCGTAGCGTCCATCTGCTTGCGAACATCGCGAATATGAGTCATAACTCGCTTCAACGCGTCCTTGTTCTTGTCCGCCACTTGCTCCTCTAGACCTTTAATGACCGTCTCCATAAAGTCGTGGAGTCCTGAGAGCTTGTTGACCACGTGTTGATGCAGATACGTCGTGTACTGGTAGACCCACTTGCTCACCCACGTCAACATGGCTGTCTTGATCGGCTGAGAGTTGACTCGCAGCCATCCAATGTCTGTAGGAGTCGTCAAGTTCTCGATCTCACTCGCCACTTGCTCGTATTTCGTGATCTCGACGTTAAACTTCTCCAAGTCCAGCATATCTGCAGCACCATTGGCACCTGGCACCGTTGCAGTAGCCAGGAAAGTCTGGAAGTGAGCAGCCATATCGGACTCCCACAGATACCCGTAGCCGTCATACTTGCGCTTGAAAGCCGTCAGCATCGCCTCGTTCTCTTCTTCGTACTCGCTAATCGTTGCCAACATCATGGAGATCGTCATGTCTGAGTGCATTTCCTTAAGGTACGAGCCTCCTCCGTCCGAGTCCAGACGTTTAACAGCAGTCGCGACATTGAAGAACGAGTTGATCCACAGCTGAATCGTGTCGCTCAGTCCTTTGCCGTGATTCTCGCCGATAGTTGGGTTGAACTGAACACGGTTGGCGATGAGATCCAGCTTGATCTCCAGCATTGGCAAGCGGTTCTGATGGTCTTTAGTGGATTTTGGTGCTCCCTCTCGAGGTGGGGCTTCTCGTTCTCCGTCTTTGCCTCCCGTTGGGTCCAGTTGCTTGGCTAGAAACTCCAGCGAAGAGCAAATAACACGTGCCACCCCGTTGACAACGATGTTATTAACGTAGTCGACATAAGCCTTCCATTGTGCGCTGTTGACTCCAACGATCCCCGTGTTCGATTGCTTTAACCGTCGATGGATTTCTGCCGCTCCCTCTCTGATCTTGAGTGTCCGTTGTACGATGTAACTCTTGTGTTGACGTTCATGTTCACTCACTGCCACAGGTTTCGCCTGACGCTCCAATAGCGGCAAATTCCACGCATTGAGCGTGTCTTGGATCGTGTTGAGATTGTCCTTGAGGTTGGTCACGATCTCGTTGGCGCCTTCCACCGCCTTCCGACACTCGTCAATGAACGTGTCAATCCCTGAGCTCTTCCAGTTCAGTTCTTCGATGCCTCGTCCAGCACAAGCGTCGATGTTCTGGATATGTCGACGTACCAGAGGCTCTTCTAACGGATGAATGCCTTCGATCATGGCGTTGTACGGCTCCACAATGTACATAAGCTCGCCTCGATACTTCCGGAAGGTCTCTTCTTTAGCAGAAATCTGCAGAGCTGACTGAGGCACCTCAATGTTAAGCAGTCGAAGGTATTTGATCTCTCGTAGCAGTTTCTCCAGTGCTGGATCGAAGTTCACACGAAGACAGCGCGTCTGGGGATGACGCAGCAGCAGTGGCAACTTGAGTTTGGCCTGCGAAGACGCTTCGACGTCACGACTCCACTCCTCCACCTTCTGGTTCTCATATTCCTGTAGAGAGGCCATGATAGTACCGTATACTTTGTAGACTTCTTTGGCTTCTTCACGCTCCATGACGTTTTGGTTGAGTTCTCGCAGCTTCTTCATGGGATGTTCAATACGCTCCACTAGTCCTCGACACCACGTGAGAGCACCAGCCACCGGAGGCAAGTTCCAGCTGATAGGAGGGGCGTCACGACAGTGTAAGAACAATTCCTGAACCAGCTTCAAGTCGTGGCCATAGCTCTGTACGAGCGCTACATGCTTCTTCTCCAGTTCGTCCTGGATGATCGGGCGATTGAGAAGACCCTCGAATGAATCGAGCAACTTGAAGCGGCCGAAGATGGTGGAGCAGTCGTCAAAGCCCTGCGTGAGTACAGATCCTAGACGTCGTTCCAGTTCCTTGATCTTGCAGCGGAAGTCGTAGAAATTGTCGTCGAATTTGGACGCACCCACGTCCATAATGTCCAGAGATACGCCCTTAAACGTATTGACAGCCTCTGTGAAGTCTGCATGGATCTGTTGGACACTCAGCGTCAGAGTTTTGCCCTTCGTGCCGCCCACTTCGATCTTGGACAGTTTACTGAACTGGACGATGGTCTGAGTGAGATCGAGGATGTCGTGGCAGCGCTCGAGGAAGCTATCGAGGCGCACGAAGAGCGCGTTGCCCTGGATGCGCCATGGGTTGGAGGGGCATTCCGCATTGGCTGTGGCCTTGTAGTCGAAATAAGTGCTCTTAAAGGCCGAACACACTTGTAGAGTGGTCTTGAGTTGCTCTACAGCTTGACCGGCTTCATCTTGGTCAATAAGAGCAAAAATCAACTCACCGCTTAGATATTTTCGTGCTTGGTTAATGAGTGAGTTGCAGATCTCACGCATGAGCACTACGAGACGAGCTGGCGTGTTGTAGTGCTTGGAGTTCTTCCATATTAAGAGGATGATATGCAGCATCGGCTTGAAGAGCTCCGTAAGTGCGGGGAAGTCCTCGTCGTTGTTGAGTCGGATGAACCATTCCTCCAGCGTACGCAGATACTTCATGTTGTCATTGGCCTCGATACGCGCCGTAAAAACCTCCTTACACAGCCGAGCAAATGTGGTACAATAGGTGCTTTTAGATCGATCCAAAGCCGTGAGGATCTTGCGCACTTTCTTGGACTGAAGCTGGTCGAAGATGGAGTTCAAATTAGCAGCTTTGAGCTTCCAGAACTCGATCTCGGCGTCGGGCGTTGGGTGAAGTCCCTGCTTTAGTAGATCCTCGGGGTCTTGCTTGAGTACGTTTTTGATCTGTTTGGTCCAGATGACGATGGAACCTTCGAGTAAGGACACTTTATTGCTCAGATTGGTAGCGTTGCCGTCGATCGGAGGCAGGGGCAGACACGTCTCGCCCTTTGTGGCTCCACTGATGATCGATACTGAAGCCATATACGAATGGAACTTGTCCACCACTTCTTTAGAGGCGACTTCTCCCCAACCTTCTTGATTAGCGACATTGGAGAATAAGGGCAGATAAATCTCCGACACCATCCGCTCCAGATACTCGACACTACTGGGAGTCAACTCGTTCACCATGATGTCGTTCAGGACGTTCTTGGACGTGATGACGGTCTTGTGAAACTTGGTGAAGCACACAGTCTTGCCTCGAGGCAAAGTGCCTGGCATCTTGATGGAGGCGATGACGTTGTCTCCAGAGAAGATAAGCATCGTCACATCTTCGTTCTCAAGGAACTCTCTGACGCAAATTCTGATAATAAAAAGTGGTGAGTAGAATTATTGAACACGTTGAAGAGAGGGTTAACTGTCCACGTACTCGTTGGGTTCCGTGGCGTATTTGGCGGTGAACTTGGGTCCGACCAATTGGGGGAACGCAGAGGCCACTCGCTGCTCAATGTACTTGAGAGGATTCACCTCGTTCTTATTAGGCGCTCGCTCGCCGTCTTCGCCTCCCATGGCAGCAGACCTTCACGTAATATACCTTCCAGGTTCTTCTCACTCTCTCTCTCTCTCTCTCTCTTAGCTGCAGTCGAATGAATTCTGGCTGGAGTCGCCGTCGCTTCACAAAGTTTTGGATCGCAACTAAAATGGGGGAAAACTGCACGTAACGACGTCCAACGGGGAGTTTAAAATGCCATGATAGTTGTCTCCATTCATTAACCAACACGAGAGGAAACTACAGTCAACTGGCTGATAAAATGTGCGGCGAGGCTTAGAACTTGCCCAGCAGCGAAGCGTACACGGCCATGACAGTCCACAGTCGGTTCTCAGCCTCGTCGAAGACCACCGAGCGCTTGCCGTAGAAAACCTATAACACAGTCAACAGGTTAGTAACTAAATCAATCCAATGATTCACAATTGCAGGCTCGTACCTCGTCGTCGACCTCGTCTTGGTGACGCGGAAGGCAGTGCAGGAAGATGTGGTTGTCGGCGGCGTTCTCCAGCATCTTGTTGGTCACCTGGTAGCCCGCGAAGGCCTTGAGGCGCTTCTGGGATTCCTCCTCCTGGCCCATACTGATCCACGTGTCGGTGGACACGACGTTGGCGCCCTTAACGGCCTCAACGGGGTCGGTGGTCATAAGGAACTTGGTGCCAGCCAGAGCAGCCAAGCGCTTGGTCTCCTCCACGACGTCCTCATCCGGTTCGTAGCCTTCAGGCGTGGCGATCTGGATGTTAGCACCGAGCTTGGGGGCAGCCAGCATGTAGTCGTGCAGCACGTTGTTGCCATCGCCCACCCAGGCGAACGTGAGACCCTCAAAGCTGCCGAAATGCTCCTTGACTGTCATGTAATCGGCCAGCATCTGCAGCGGGTGGTACTTGTCGGACAACGCATTGATCACAGGCACAGTGGCCAACTCGCCCAGCTCCAGGATGTCCTTGTGGCCGTACACACGCGCCAGGATGATGCTGTTGAAGCGCGAGAGCACGAGGGCAGTGTCCTTGAGCGTCTCGTTCACGCCGAGTTGGATGTCGTCCGAGGAGAGGAACAGACCTTTGCCTCCAAGCAAGTGCATGCCCACTTCACTCGAGATACGAGTGCGAGTACTGCGCTTCTGGAAGATCATGGAGCAGATCTCGCCTGTAAGAGGACGAGGAGCAGTGGCCTTGGTCAGAGGGTCCGAGTACGTGGCCTTGAACTCCTGCGCCTTGGCCACAAGCGCCGTGATCTGCTCCGTCGAGAGCTCAGCCGTGGACATGAAGTTCTTGCCCTTAAGGGAAGCCAACTGCTCATTCACAGCGGCTGTGGAGAGTTGCTGAGTCTGTTGGCTCATTCTGAAGACGGAAGTGGACGGTGAGGCACGAGATGCGAGTCGGCGAGTGAGCGAGAGGAAAGACATTGGGGCTAGAGAGCGGCGACGTCCTTGGTGGCTGAGGTGAAGCTGGGGCTGGTTGCCTTGAGAGCTTTGCGATCGGGTTATGGCAAGATGCAAGATTTGTTGATTTGAACGACCCATACAGTTTTCAAGTCACTTGTGAACAGCCGTGGTAAACACGGGGATTAGCGGCGGAAAGTAAAGCTTTATGCACAAAAGATGGCTGCGCTATTTCTTGTGGCAAAATTCCTCGTGCTTCGTTGGGTAAAGTGACGGGAAATGTTTTGCATGTGTTGCTATGACTTCAAGGCTCTGTGTAATTAAGACACGCGGACTCAATTGATCGTATACACACCTCCACTTTCCTCTTCCATACACCAGCGACAGCCTCTAGGGACCTCCTACTTAGTGGAAGACCTGCGCCTCCGACTTGCCGAAGAAGAGCTGGCTCAGCTGGCGATCCCACCACGACATGGCTGGACTCAGACCGTTCTTCAGACGCTCCTCCCGCACCTCCTTGGCCACACGTTCGCGAGTCTTGGCGGCTGTGCGGCTGCGTTTGAGGTCGTAGGCCTGGCCGATCAAAGCCATAAAGTCGATGAAGGCCTTGGTCGGGTTGAATTGTCCACTCAGGACACCCCACTCGCTCGTCGCGTAGTCCGAAGGATACTTGTGGCTGCAGGACAAGAAACCGTAGTCGTTAATGAGACTGTGCAATGGAAAATAATCGTTACAAGGCGAGAAACGTACTGGTAGTTGTGGTAACCTTCGCCGATCGCGCCGATAGCCACGATGAGGTTCTCCACGGCCCGAATCTTGCGGTCGTAGGGCTTGTAGCCGAAGAAGTGGGCCACACTGTTGACCATCCAGGTCATGTGCAGCACCCAGACGTGGCGGAAGACGCCGCCCACCCAGAATCCGGCCCATGCGTCGCCCAGGTAGTAGCCAATAGCCGTGGGCAGCAGATAGCACATGAGCAACACCGTCTTAATGTAGTGCCTCATCTGGAAGGTCACGACGGGGTCGGCCAGTAGGTCTGAGAAGTCCAGCTTTTTGCCAGCCTCACGCACGTTCTTGTGTTTGCGCACCATGACCCAGCCCATGTGCGAGAAGAAGAGTCCGCGCTCCGAGTTGTGCGGGTCAGCCGTCGTGTCCGAGCCCTTGTGGTGCACGCGGTGGTCACGCGACCACTCGAAGATGGTGCCCTCGAAGGCCATCGAGTTGCAGAGCATGAGGAACACACGCAGCGGCAGTTTGGCCTTGTAGCCGCGGTGTGACCAGAGGCGGTGCGCACCTGCCGTGATGCCCAGGCCAGACACTACCCAGAGGAATATCCAGAGCACCAGAAGCTGCAGCAGCGAGCAATGCGGCATAACGAATAGCAGAGCGTAGAGAGCACCCACGTGCCACGAGGCCAACACGATCACATTGTACCAGACCACCTCGGACCACTTGAAGCCGGCCTCGGCCTGCTCCTCGGGAGCAAACAGCTCTCCCTCCTCCTCGGCGAACTCGCTATCCATGTCCGTCTTGATCAGCTGCTCCTTCTTGGCAATCGCAGCGACAACGGCGATGGGGCGCAGCTTGGCGGTGGATCTCTCCTCCATGTTAGCGACCATCCTACACGAGATTCGTCCGGGGAGTTGGCGGCAACTCGTCGAGTGAAAAGATGCCAAGATGACATCATGGGATCGCGTGCTTGTCCCGCGTAACCCGCTTCAAGGAATCAGAGCATTAGAAACGACAAGAAGCTGTGCAGTGCAACTGCCAGGATACTGAAACTAAGTGATAAGTAGGAAACGGATACGTGCGCTGTATCTCTTCTACAAGGTATTTAGTATTAGGGGTGATGCTTTGTCGTTTGATTATTGGCCAGTGGCAACCGTGCAATCGTTTATGCGAGGGCTTCATCAGCTGCGCATAAAGCCGTGTCAAAGACAAGATGAAGTCCTCATGGAGAGCTTCCTGCACGTTCCCGGCGTTACACCTTGGTCCAAGGCTCTTGAGTGTGTCTGGGGATCGCGTGAGTGAGGAGTTGGTGGTGATGGCTGGCTAATGTTGGTGAACTGAAAGCTCCTGGGTCTACATGGGCATGTCCTGCTGAGTCCGAAAAGAGACTGGCAGGATCTGGCGTCATCGTTGGCTTGGCGGTGACAGCGTTTTCGAGCCAAGTCCGCGACAATGCGATCAAGTTGCTTTGGAGCAACTCAGTGGTGACCACGCGGAGAGGCGAGCGAGATTAGCGCGTTGAAGTTGTATTTATAGTCGAGCTCATGCCACCAAGATAGAGCATCAAGGGCAAGTCCGCCGCTCGCTTTCACAACAACAGACTTGCAAGACTCACGACGTGCTTTCTGCTGTCCATGGACGACGGCAACAGCAGGAGAATGACTGCAAACGCTCCCCCGCCTTCCTTGTCAACTCCAGAGCTCGCTAGTATCAAAGTTTTCTGCCGTCTACGACAACAGAACCAGCTAGAGAAGCGCGAGGGAGCCGTTCAATGGTACTTAAGGCTGTTTGTCTTTCTATCTCTGTGTTCGAGGGCTAACCAAACCAATCCCCACACCACAGCTCGACAGTCGTTGGAGGCCGCACCATGTTCCTCCGCAACGAGCGCTGCGAGGTGGACGAGATCCGCTGCACTTTTGACCACGTCTTCGACATCCACTCGACGCAGGAGGAGGTCTACACACACACAGCCAAGCCTCTCGTCCAAGATTTCCTTCAGGGCTACAACTGGTACGCTCTACCTACAATATTAAGTGTCACTGCAGTCCCTCCCTCTCAATGTCGTGTCAATCTCCAGCACCATCTTCGCTTACGGACAGACAGGCTCAGGCAAGACACACACGATCTTGGGGCCCAAGGACGGTGTACTAGTGAGTGCCGATGAAGAGGGAGGCATCATCTCGCGCGTCGTCAAAGATCTCTACGAGGAAGTGGAACGTGCCAAGACCAACCCCATCGAGCTTAAGGTTTCATTCGTGGAGATCTACATGGAGCAAATCCGTGATCTACTCGCTCCCAGTGGTAGCAGTAACACTGTCGGTACTCCCACGAACGGTGGACTCAAGATCCGCGAGAGTGCACAGCATGGAGTGTACATTGAAGAGATGACACGCGTCCCTAGTAAGTCGGAGGCTGCCATGATGGAGCTGGTCAAGAGCGGGACTCTCAGTCGTGCGGTGTCTTCTACACGTATGAACAAAGACTCGAGTCGCAGTCACTCGATCCTGATGATTTCCTGTGTTCGCCCCGTTAGTGGAAGACGCGCCACGATGTACATCGTCGATCTTGCTGGGTCAGAGCTCGTAAACAAGACCAACGCTAGTGGTCGAGTGTTACAGGAAGCCAAAGCGATCAACAAGTCGCTATCGGCACTCAGCAACGTCATTAAAGCGCTTGGAGAGGGCAAACGTCATGTACCCTATCGTGACTCGAAGCTCACCCGGTTGCTTCAGGACTCTCTGGGAGGAACAGCCAAGACTTGCCTCATTCTCGCGGCTTCGTGCAGTTCGTACAACATGGCAGAGACGATCTCTACGCTTCGCTTCGGTCTACGAGCCAAAGAGATCAAGAATCCCGTTGTGCAGCGGACCGACGGTGACGGTGGAGCGGGCTTTGCAGCGGGCACCATATTTAAAGAGCTCTATCAACGTGCGATGGAGGACATGGAGGCCAAGAACCGCAAAATCGACGAGCTCCAACGACTGTTAACTGCGAAACTCCAGGAGAACCAGCACCCTGACGACGTGGAGACGGCAGCAGCGACAATTGAAGACTCAGGGAAGCCTCAGGACACTGATGGAGATCATTCCAGCCAAGATGGTGATAATGAGGAGGATGGCGACAGCGCCGAAGAGGAAGGAGACGAAGAAGAGAATGATCCAGCACAGAGCGACGCTAAGAAGCTGGAGCTAGCGAATCAAGGCCTGGAGGAGGAAAACAAGCGGCTGTTTGGCGTGTTGGAAGCGCTAGAGAAGAAGCTCGACGAGGTTACAGTGGACCTGTCGACTGGCAGACCGATCCTCACTCTCTCCAGTCAACGCGACTCAGCCACAGAAGGGGATTGCACTTCTTGTGGAGAGTCTCGTGAAGGTGCAGCTCCATCACTCAAGGTCTGGCTGGAGAGCGACAACTGGCGAAAGTCACTCGAGTCTCGTACTGACACTCAAGGTGAAGACGACCTGATGCAGCAACTAAAGCAGCGTCATAGTCCAGAAAAGCCTACACCCACCAGCATTGCTGAACTAGAAGTCGTGAAAGCAGCATCCCCGGTTGTTATCGAGTCACTCGCTTTACCATCGCTACAAGGAACAATGCCTCCGTGCTCAACCCCCGACTGCGTGCACCACGCCGACGCTGAGGCGCTATCGCGTCAGATCGTAGAGCTCAAGCTGCAACTTCATTATCTGTCAGAAAACGCTCGACTGTCTCTAAACGGTGAGAGTTACAGCATCGTGCTGGAGAATGCGCGACTCAAGACACGCATCGAGGAGCTGGAGTTCCAGGCCAATCTGTGCAACGTGGCATGCAGTCAGCTCGAGATGAAGAACCGCGCGTGCGAAACGAGGCTGAGCAACCAGGAAACGCACATCGGCTGTCTACAGAACTCACTGCAAGAGTACCAAGGCTTGTTCAAGCAGCAGATCATTATGTCGCAGGAGAAATGCCGCTTGCTCACGGACGAGCTCGAGTTCTACAAGAAGCTGGCGAGATGTAGCCAAGAGAGCTACCAACATCTCGGCGGTAGTATGTCTCCTGGTCGCCGCAACAAAGGCAAGAGTCCGAGTCCGAAGAAAAACAATAGCAGCAACAGTAACGGAGCGTCGAATACGCCGTCACTCTCTGCGCTCGCTCGCGACGGCGCAGCATCAAGTGACTCCCAGCACTCGTGGCCAAGCTTCACTCGCACTGGCTCTGATATCACTCTGTCTCCACTGACTGCAAGAGCACAGCGCTTCATCGTTAAACCTACTGGAGAGAGAGCGTCAAGCACAGCGGAGCAGACGCCACCAGCAGAAGCCTCTACATCGTCGCAATGGCACAAGACGAGTGTGGACTTGAGTCTGAGCTTGGACGAGTTGGCTCAGTCCGCAACGTTGCCTGCGTCCCCCGTCGCGTCTCCCTCGTTCTTGTAGATCTCCTCGCCATACTAAATTGAATATAACAAAAAGAATTTCCACAGCAAAATGTCTGACAAATCGCAAATGTACTTGTTGCTTGTCTACTGCTCGCCCGAGGACTGAGTGTTGGGCAGCTTCTTCTGCGTCTTCTGCTCGTACTGCGCGGGCGTCCACGTCTTCATCTGCAGCGCGTGGATGTGCGTCATCTCCTCTTTGAGGCAGTCGTTCACCCGGCGCTGGCGTTCCAGTAGCGACTGGCCTACGGGTCGCAGCATCCGGAAGTTAGTTCATTCATTTCAGATTGACACAACAATGATCGCTGCACCGACCTTCGAAGCCCTCGTGAACCACTACGAGGCTGAACTTGCTACCGCAGCCGTCGGATAGGTCCACAGCCTCCACCAGCGCAGCTCCGATCTCGCGGCGGATCTTGGTTTCTAGTTGAGCAGGGGTCACCATTGAGCTTGATCTCCAAAGCTGGTAGTCACAACTTTTGACCAAAACTTCCCTGGACTTTCCATATTTTATTTTCCATTTTTAAAAAAATGGAAAACACTTGTAACATTTTTTCGGTAATAATTGACTCTTGAAATCACAATTTTTATGCGTACTATTCGAGAAAGAGCGGAGCATTTTTTGTGATGCTTATTTTGTGACGTACTTGAGGTTGCAGTGATTATACCATGACATCTTATACAATCATTCGGAATACAAAACTAAAGGTTATAAAATTGCAGAGCTATAGTAAAGCCGTTCTCGAAGTCTGGACCAAGTGAAAACACTTATACTTATTAACTAAAAGTTAAGCACAGCGTGATGGTACCTCTGTTGAAGTGAGGTCATGGATCTCGAGAGATCAGGGCAGCTTGCGGAGCTGATCGGGGCGTGTGCGTCGGCGGCTGCGGGGGATCTCAGTATCGGGACTGTGGCCGAGGCCACTGGATGGTCGTGGGAGCACGACGAGGATGAGGAGGTGGATACAGAATTATAGAGCGTAGAGCAATGCAACTATCACTCTCTCTTTTGCGTAAGAATCCTCGCAGCGTTTAGTGTTACCTAGTAAGGTTGCAGACCGACTTCCAACAACCTCCGCGTTTATCGTGGGCTTACAGGTAAGCTGGTAAAATACTGGGGGACTGTAGATGGTTAGAGGTGTAGCGACAGCATGCGGCTACCGGCTGGACCGTGTAGCAATGCGTTTTATTGCAGGTGAAGATCACTGGTTAATTTTAAAAATGCTGCCCCCCCCCCCCCCCCCAGCCTTGCCGCCCTGTTACGACGACGGCGACGCAGGCAGCAAGATCAACGTGGGCCCTCCGCTCAGCGTTGAATGCAATATCGCTTTGCAAGAAGGGCTTTGCTACCGCCGTATATGTCTGCGTTTCAGCGGCTCTACGGGTCAGGGTGCAACCAGTCTCTCATCACACTGACTGGGTTCCACCATGCTGGCTTTCACTATCTACTGGCACGTTTTTGAAGATTTCTACTACCAATACTCGCCGTACTCTGTTAATGGTTCGAATGTCAAGTTGAAGCCAACGACAACGAGGTCTGGGCGACCGCGCTTCGATGACAGCAGAACAGTGCTTGGCGTTCGAGCTAGCGTGGGGGCGCTCAGCTGGACCAACGTCATTCTTAAGCCTGGTATTTGGTGTGACCGCATCAGTGATGACTCTCTTTCCTTGCTTCGACAGATGCCTGTTGGTGCTAGTTCTGAAGGGCGACACCAAAGATCAAGTCAATTTGCCAACATCAAGTGAAATAAGCCGCCTCCAAGATGCAATCGGGGCAAATTATCCACTGTTGAGCTCTGTGTACGCTATTATGGACGGTCTCAAGCTTCGTTTGCAGGCCTCAGATCACTCTGAAATTCAGAACATGTTCTACAACGGCTGGACGCATGACCACTACGTCAGCAATGTGTTCGCATTCTCGCCTGAAAGACTCATCATTGCGTGTGCGCTCAATGCACCTGGGTGTATGCATGATTCTCAAATTGCAGAGTGGGAGAATGTGTATGCCAAGCTGGAACTATTCCACCAATATACAGGAGGACAGATCGTAGTTGACTCTACATTCTCTAAAGGAACGAACGACTTCCTGCTGAAGAGCGGAGAGGACGTTGCTTTGCCAACCGCAATTCGCAGAGAGGTGACAGCACTACGCCAGTCAGCCGAGTGGGGAATGCGAGCTCTTCAAGCTGCGTTTCCTCGTTTGGAAGATAGACTGAAGTACGGGGAGAGAGGAGAGCGGAAGTGCATCTTGCTCTCAATAGTGCTGTTGTTTCATCTTCGCACACATCTAGTTGGATTGAACCAGATTTTACCCGCTTTCTACAGTAGTACTATCGGCCGAACAGCTAACGAGCTCTTCTGTAATTAGTTACCGTAAACCACGGGCTCAGTGAGACGCACGGCATCACTGCAACAACTCGCAAAACGACAAACCGTTGAAATAAAAAGTTCATCATTTTTCAAATTTGTAGGGGTGACGCCCCTTCCAACGAAAAAAAAACATTTAAATCATCGTAAAATGAAAAGTGCATTTACACGTTGACTACCTACTCTTCATCGCATACAACCGGAGCTTCGGTGCTGGGACGCGGAAACAACCGCTGACATTACGTGGTACAACCGGAATGATGTCAGTTTTCACAAAACCACGGACAATCACCTCTTGAGGTATCGAGTTCCACGCTTCCGCCACAATACGGGAAATTCTTGCCCGCTTGTCTGTAGGTGAGCTTGGAAACCCATTTTCAATATGGTGGTAAAGATACAGCGATCTAAATAAGCAACAATAAGTCGTTAAGTATGGTAGAGTTGACACAAATGGCAGGAGTTCATACCTGACTCGATCCTTGAACACTTTCATAACAGCTACATCCATTGGCTGGCTAACACCTGTAATACCGGGCGGGACAAACTCGACTTGGCTGCAGCACTCCTCTTGTAGCACACTACGCACTGACGCCATCTTATGCGTCTTTAAGCTGTCCAACAAGAGCAGTCTGCAACCAGTTATTGAGGGCTTCCACACCTGCATACGTAAATCGTTAAAAAAAAATAAAAATAAAATACGTACTCTCTGGATCCACTCCAACATGACGCGCTCATCACAGAAGGCCTTCCGTTGCACTGCGTGCTCAACATCACTTGAAGTAAACTTGGGGTCCCATACCTCAGCGGCAACACGTGCGCCAGGGACCCCTGAAAATACAACGAAGGGAGGAAGCTTGTGACCAGTCGCGGACGCTGCCAGGAACACGGAGGCTCGAAACCCGTTGGCTTCACTGCCTACATTATTAATAGAGAAAATGTTAGAGTCGAAAAAATATTTACTAAAACCACCGTACCTTGCAAAACGTCCACTGTTGGTGCACCAACAAACTCAATTGTGGTTCTGCTGCTCATGTCAATGTATACAGCCGTTTGGTCCATTTTGTATACAGGTGCATACTTTCCAGGACCCATATCACTAGACAAGATACCTTTCTCCTCAAAAGTATGCTGGATAGAGCGTGAAAACACGTTCGCTACCGCGTGTAAATCATACAAAATCGCTTTGTTATCGTAATTTAATAACCCGTGCATTACAATTGCGTACCTCCATATCGTTGCGTTTCTTTCTACCCTTATGCGTTATAAGCCGGATCATCAAGCGGTTTAGCTTCAAAAACCGGTGGATAAACATGAGGTTTGCCGCAAGTGAGCGACTCTGAAATAGCTCTGGGTCATATTTAGACAGCATTAATAGCAAACACTCTGTTGACACGCAGAGCGATCTATTTTTTCGTCGGTGATCCATTTTAGCAGTCAATACAAAAAATAAAAACGTTTAGGAACAGTAAATAGAAATAATAGAGAAGCGTACCTTGTCTCTAAAGCAGGATGGCGAACGCCACGAGAAGAACGAGTTGATGGGTTGACGTAGCATCGGTTAGGCGCCTTCTGAGCTGCATCTTCCAGGCTTTGCGGCTATTCCTCCATCGAAACAGCGCCGACCGATGGACAGATAACGCTTTTGCTGCTGCCGTGGCAGATCCAGCCTCGTCCAACAGCTCGAGTGCCTGTGTAAGTAGACGATGTTAATAAATATTAAAATCAAATTGTATGCAGTGTTTCTATACCAAAATCTTCTTGCGATTCCAGTTTGTGGGCCTTCTCGGCATGGTTGGCGTGCGAAAATAAGTAAAATGAGAGCCAGGAAGTCATTGTGGCGGGAACGCACTCTGTCCAGTGGACCATCTCGTCTTACTTTTTACGTCGTAAATATTTTTCCTAGAATAGTGAATTTTATTAACAACTAAACTTTTTACCAGTGTCACACTGAGCCCGTGGTTTACGGTAAGCTAACTAGTTAAGGGCTTACTCATGAGGTTTAAAAGCCGCGCCAACGACGGTCATCATCATTTGCATCAGCTGCTCGTGGCGACGGTCAGCTTCCTTGGGTCGCAAACGCTCGTCCCCACGATCTTGATCACGTTGACGCCGCTCTTCTTCCCAGCGCATACGTTCCTCTTCTTAACGAAGGCGCCGCTCTTCACGCTGTGTGCGCTCATCAACGTGACTCTGCAGTAGTTGCATTCGCATCAGCTCCATGATGTCCTCGTCGCCGGAGCCCGTGCTAGCCCGGTGGCGATTGACGAGAGGTCGAGGAACACTAGAGCCAGCTGCTCTGGTAAACTCTGAAGCATTGGCTAGACCAGCCGTTGCCAGCTGACCTAAGGTTGATTGGGCTGCAGGACGCTCCGTTGGAGCTGGGGTACTTATTGTACGCGACATTGAACAATGGGCCAGAATCTACAGGGGTATAATTGGTACAAGATTTGGAAAAACCTAAATCGACATTTAGATATAGGGTCAAATCACGCGTTTACATTCTGATTTTGCAATCAGTTTTAATCAATTTCCAGCCGTTTTCGAGCTACATCAATTTTAAAATGGCCACTCCAAGAGGTGCAATATTCGGGGGAAAGGCGCACCAAATTAAGATCTATGATTGGTCTAGATTTGAAAACATATGTACAAAAAGAAAGAGAGATGTCACCAGGTCGCAGATTGATTCTGGAGATTTAACATGCAATCCTTCCGTCAGGATGGTGAAGAAAAATATAAAGGTATTCGGTTGTTTTCAATTAATTTTCTAGTGATTTCTGCAGAGCAACATATTCGTCCTCAATCTTCTGTACGTGACGAAACCGATCGAGCCACTCAGCTGGAGTAATTCTAGCTAGGCCATCCAATACCTTCTCCACTGCATCAGCTCCGCTTTTCGGTGGGTCTCCAGCAATTCTATATTTCAAAAGGCCCCAAATAATCTCTATCGGCTGCAAGGTTGGATGATATGGTGGTGTATAATAGAGTTGATGGTTGTAGCGTGTAGCAATGGTGTTGGCTGCGTAAATGGCCTTTGGTTTGTTTAATTTGGCCAAACTGAGCAGTACGTTCTTGTTGACATCCCGCCTGTAAACCCACTTGCCTAAGCAAGATAAAAACAATTAGTCAAATATATGTTTATAAAAACAAAACTTACCAACTTTGTTAAGATGATCTTCAAGCCAACTCCTAAGTGACCGCGTTGTCGGCATTTCGTTGGTTAAGCGCTTGTGGTACCCAGCTCCATCCATGTGGATGTTACAGCCACCGTATTGGTCCCTCAACAATTTACAGAGATTCTCGAACCACGCTTCAAACAACTCAGAGTTGAAGTTCCCGTGATAGTCTTGATAATCTTCTGTTTCATCTTGTTTTCTTTTTTTTATGCATTCCAGCATTGTATTGAACCCTCCACAAACTTAGCGTAGGTTGTACGGCCTCTACTCGCCACAATACCTGCGGCAACAATGCAAGCACTACCTAAAATGTCAGTAAAAATATAAATCGAAATAATAAAACATAAAATACAAATACCGATCTCCTTTTCCACTTTTGTTGTAGCGAATGTTAACGAGGATAGCCATGTCTGACCTCGAACATGGTTGGCATTGCAAAATGACTCGTCCAAGTACACCTCAGGTCGATCGACCGCTTCCCCAACTCGATTCGCAATTTTTTTTCTGTAGATACTTGTTTCGAAATGCAATATTCGCCTCAGAGTTTGCGTACATGTGCCTTTTCTCGCCTTTCACGTATCGAAAATCCAGCTCGCCTAAAACTCGCTGCATTGTACGCTCAGCAAGTAGAATCCCCGTCACTTCGTGCAGATGCAGGCTGATACGGGTTGCAGTAGTTGGGCGTACAGCTTTACTTTCTCTTTCAATAAATTGACGGATTGTTGGCTTGATATCTGTCAGCTCATAATCTCGTTTTCGGCCTCTGTCATTTTCGCCAGCATTTGTAAAAATATTAATTGTTAAAGGTAGTTGTTCCAATGTCAGTTAAGATGTATTACCTCAAAATCTGTCGTTGGATTTTTATTTTTCTCGTTAACCACGGAATCAACTGTGTTGGGAGCACAGCGTAGGCAATCGGATACCAATTGACGTGTCCTGATGCCCTTGAACATGCCGTGTTCTTTCTGGTTCTTGAAGAATTCATAGCTGTTCACTATCATCTGCTT